ATCATATCCACTCGCGAAAGTATCCAGCAATGTTGGATGCATTGAGATTGCGAGAGATGCAGGACGAAGAAGCATCATGTGCTCGTTCGTTCTCAATATCATGAGGCCGACGTTTACTGCAGCACATCCTCTTCTCGTCAGCAATTGCAATTGTGAATGTCAGAGATGAAGACGGCCAGGAACAGGACGGGGCCAGCAGGAAGTAGCCGAAGAAGGCGATGAGCGAGCTTTCTGAGATGGATATCAGACGCAGCGTGGAGGAGTACCGATGCAAGATTAGGTCGGCGGACGCGAGCGCGGAATCCGTGGCGTTGGCGGAGGCGAACGCTACGTCGTGTACCGTGCGGACGGCGGGCGTGTGCGCGCGTGGGCGCGCTCGCAGTCCAAGGGGACTTGGAGCAGGGTGGCGGCGGCGGTGGAGAGGAGGAGGAGGAGGGAGAGGAAGGCGACGGGGCGGGGGATCCGCGGCGGCGGCGACATGGTGGCGTTGGGGGATGGGGACGTGGTAGGAGGGGCGGAGGAGTCTTTGATGCGCACTGTCACATCCTGAGGAGACTCTCGCCGTTGAGGTTCAGACCCAACCTCATGGAATCTAAGTGGGCTTGCCATATCCGAGAACGAACTGGTGCGTTTCTGTGAGCACACATATGCGCGGGCAGGTCGACAACACTATCGTACCCCTCGGAGCTCATACTGCAAAAGCAATGCTTTTGGATTATTTTACCGATGTCTTTCCCGCGAAAAGTGCCAATGTTTGATCAGCTCTTGAGGAGATGAGAGCTTTGCGATTCCAAAAAAGCCATACAGTCGCCATCAGTGGACCCAGTGCTTTCCAACGATACCAAGTAAGTACTACTGGATAGCTTCCGCAAATTACACTAAGTGTTTTTTGGTGGCAGGTGGGGCATTATTTGTGCCCCTTCTCTCGCAAATTTCGTGTTAATGGCAACAACAAAATCAGATGTACGTTCCTGGCCTCCCCACTGTGGTGGGGAGGCGTTCCTCTCAAAGAAGGCAAACACGCAGTCGGGCTTTGCGCACGGTGACTACGGCGCCAGCGGCAGTGGAGGTTACGGCGGCAGTGGCGGCGGGTATGGAGGCGTCGGTGGCAGGTACGGAGGCGGCAGCAGCGGGTATGGAGGCGGCGGCGGTGGTGGAGGTGGCACCAACGCCGCCGATGGGTGTGGCAGTTAAGGGTTGGCGGTTCGAAGGCGTCGGCGGCAGGTACGGAGGCGGCAGCAGCGGGTACGGAGACGGCGCCGGTGGTGGAGGCGGCACCACCGCCGCCGATGGGTGTGGCAGTTAAGGGGCGGTGGTTCGAAGGCGTCGGCGGCGGGTACGGAGGCGGCCGCGGTGATGGAGGCTTGGCTCCAACTTGAAGAAGCTCGATTGGAACGAGAGGCATTGGATCCCAAAGATGGACTCGTAAGCTCGGTTTCATCTCGAGGGAGAGGCCGCTATCAATGGAGAATTAAGGGCTCTCTTTCTCGCGACGGCATGGCGAACACTCATTGCACGTGGCATTTTGTTGGTTTCGCCATATCACTCAACTCTGTATTTCAACTGTCGGCATTCGAATTCCATCCGCTCCTTCCGCATCTTTTCGACCCTTAACTTGACTTTTTCGTTGGCAATCGCCTCTTTGAGGCAACTTGAGATTCTTTTGGCCTTCTCTGTACGCTCTCAATTTTGGCCAATTCTATCACATCGGGTCTTGTGAGTATTAGACCCCTAGTGGTATCCACCCAACTGCGTCGCACGACAACTGGCTGCAAGCACAGCCCATGGCGCTTAGCCTTCCTTTTTGCTCTAACAAAACGGCCAACTTATCAACACTAATAATTCGTTCCACTTCTGCATCTGACGGTGGCCGGGGTATACTGAGTACAGTGCCGGGGTTAAATGGGCTTATACCAGCTGCCTCAAAGCTCTTCAGTACCATATCTCGCGTAAAAGACCTCGCGTAGGCTGCCGATATTAGACGCAGGAAGTCAAACGTGTCGTACTTAACATGTGAATCCCCTTTGCCTGTTTGGCCAACTAGAATATTTAGATGTTCTTTAAACGGCCGAACCACGTGCAAATCCAAGGGGTGCGTCGTACCGCTCGTATGCGCCGGTAATGCATAGGCAATGATGTTGCCCTTTCGTAGAGTCTCCAGAACCTTCAGACCCATGTGGCTACGGTAACCGTCATAGATAAGCAGGACTTTTCGGTCGTTTGCCGTCAAAGTACGGCAATATTCTACAAAAGCCTGAGCCCATCTCTCAAAAACAAATTTGTCAACGCCTGCCAGTTCTCTTCTAGTGGTGATGCTTGAATGCGGGGGTAGACAGTCAGCGAGGGATTCCACATGCTCAGTACCGTCAATTGTAATCACGCGGTAGGCCACTGATGCACCTTGGATAACGAAGGTTGGGGTGCCAACGTTTCCGCAGGCAAAAATGGCAGTTAGCAATGTAACACGATGAGCATTTTTGAAAAAGGCAGACCTGCATTGTGACACCGCTCCTCTCGTACAGTACGTCTTTGCACGCATGCGCCCGTTGGCATCTCGATTCGGAGAACAGCCAGTTTCGTCGATGTTGCAAATTCTTGTGCTGTCGATACGAAAATTTTTAATGATGTCCTCCAGTTCAGCGAAGTGCGTTGTGAGATTTTCTGCGTTGGTAGCACGGTATCGCAGGGCGTCTTGGCGTGAAGCCTTTCCAATCTTGATCGAATTGCGGTGACGGAATTCGAAGTTTCTCAAGAATGTCTTGCCAGGACGGCCGTCATTGAAGGGTAGTTTAGATCGGCATTCGGGGGACATGTTTTTGACGATGATTTCGACTGCATCAGCGAAGTCGGAGCGTGTGAGCGGTCGGGCTTGAGAAGCATACCGTTTCACGAGTTCGACAACAGTCGTTTCTTCCTCCTGGATAAGGACGTTTCGCGAATGAAACCTTGGCTCTGAAGTTTCGGAGTCCAAAAACTTTCAGAACTGGTATTCAAAGGTGGAAAGTGGGAGGCGTGCCATTTTGGTACCAGTGCGACGAGAACTTCCATCAATAACGGCATCGAATGCCTCATGTAGGCGACGTTTCTCGCGCTTCGCCCGGCGGTCTTGTTTAGACATCTGTAGGCTTTGGTGGGTGAGGGACGTGAGCTGAGGAAAGTGGGAGGAGTCTCGTGTTCCGACCTGTGTGCAGAAACGGGAGCCTGTAACCGTATTTATATCTAGCTTCGAAAAGGCGGGAATATCCGATTTGAAGATTTCGGACCGAAAAAGACCGCCCGATCTGATTTTCAGGCCAGTGTGTCCTTGTAAGACAGGCTTTTGGAGATATGGCAAGTTAAAGTTGAAGTTTGTTTCGTTATGTGACCCAAAATGGTCAAAATGCTGATTTTTGGAAATTTTTGGGGTGTTCAAATCTTGGAAGTGCTGTTCAAGAAATGGGTACCCCCTCTTGTACCGTACACAAGTAATACGCGTAGACTACCGCACGGACGACACGTGTGCTACTGTACACGTGTGCTACGCCACGACCGGTCGGTGCACGCGCGCGCTCCTTTCATGTGGGCACACCCGCCCACGTGTGCTCCGTGCACGGCCGCCCGGTTAATAAACTCCGCGCGCACGCGCCGGTCGTTATACTACATGAAGTACGCGCCGCCACAACGTCCGACAAAACGCGGGTCGCGGCCTGAGCTGAAGGCAACGCGTCGGATTTCATATGTCCTCTCCTTCGCGCCTTCATCCCCTAATTTCCTCACCCGACCGCCACCTCGATGCGATTGCAGAACCTTGGCCGATCTTGAGTTCCAGTAATCGTCAGCGGCCATGAGGTCCTCGGTGAAGCCCAGGCGAGGCAAGCGCAAAATGTCGAAGCGCGCTACGGGCAGAGCCGAGACCCAAAAAGACAAGGCCGCGACATTGGCTTTGGGAACCAGGAGCACTCTGAAGAAGGTGCGGGCCCTCACGTTGGTCTCGAACGCCCTACCGCACAACTCGATAGTTGAGCTATTGTCGCTGCTGGCAAAGGTCACGAACGAAACCCGAAGCCGTTCGTACTCCAGCTCTGTGATACGGCACTGCGCGTGCGCGCCCGCCGTTGTCCTCCCGGTCGGTGCAGTGGCCCTCAGGCACATAACCAGCTGCCTTCCGGTTGGAGATTGCTCGGCGAGAGCGCTGCGCAAATGTGAGTGAGGCGAAATCGATGAGGATAGACGAATGAGCAATGCGCGAAGGGAAAGAAAGGGAGGATCGGAAAAGGCAGGTGCGCGCGGGATAGGTGTGAGCAATAGGATGCGAATGCGGTGCAACTCGACGTCTGATATGGGGGATGATACGCGCGAAAGAAGCTCACCGGAGTATATTTTTTGGCAAACATCAGCGCCGAGAACGAGATCACTGACGGAAAGAGATCTGGTCTCTTACCCACCGCCGTCGGCAGCGCTGATTTATGCCAACAGCTGTGTGTGGTTGGGCCACGTTAGGCTGGACCACGTGTAAAAGGGCTAAGGCGCCAGCGGCGGCTGGCGCCGGCGACGGATAGTTTTAGGTCAACAATATTAGCTAAATAACGCCGACCCAAAAAGGTCGGCGCACCGGGGGGATACAGGAGGCTACCCCCCCTGGGGACATTTATGCCCTTCTTTCTGCGCCGCGCGACATCCCTCTCTCACGACCAACCTTCGCGCCCTCGCTCGCCCTGCCGCTGCGGTACGTGCAGATTCACCCAAGCACCGCCGACCGCAACCAAAACTGTACAGTCGTGGCAAAAGCTATAGGACATTCGGGCTTCTTGGGTCAAATGGGTCCATTTTTTAAGTAAACATGACATACATTGCTGTCTATCTGGCACGTGCCGCTCTGAGTAAGAAATCAAAACATAATAGAAAACGGGCAAGCAGTTACCAAGATATCCACCTTTACGCGAATAACACCCTGCAAAAACTATAGGTACACATTTGTGCGAACGTTTATTGTGAGTAAAAAAGACAAGAGAAGGGAGGTCTCAGTAGTCTATCTTCTTTCTCTTGGCAAGCACGAACTCTACACACCTTTTCTGCATAGATTTCACCAACGCATTCAGTGTCTCATTGTTGATCTCATCCCAGGCATCTCGAATACATTCTGACAGAGAATCCACGTTTTTAAACTGCCTCTGATGCGCATAAACACTTCTAACCAAGGTACCCCACAAGTTTTCGATAGGGTTGAGATCAGGCGAATACGGCGGCCACTCTAAAACAGAGATAAAGTTGTCACAAAGCCATCTCTTAGCCACTCTAGCACGGTGACAAGGAGCACCGTCCTGCATAAAAACCCAGGGAAGAGGAAGGTCTTCAGCGAATGGCAGCAACGTATCTTCTAAAGTCTTGACGTACTTCGTTCAATCTTGCTTCCCCTCCAGAAATACCAGCGGGGACTTGGAAGTGCCAGCGAAACAGGCCCAAACCATAACGCTCGCTCGACCACTGTGCCTTTTCCAGAACCACTCCTTCTGCTTTCTTAAATCATGCCACTTATACGCTAATCCGTCTGGTCCGTCGAGATTAAACTTCTTCTCATCGGACCAGACCACTGAGTTCCACTTTCGGTCGTTCCAAGTCATGCATTCAGTTGCCCACTTCACTCTCAGTTTTTCATGATGTTCCTTCATAGCAGGCGTTCTTGCGATGCGTTTGTAACGCAAACAAGCCGTCTCTTGAAGCAATTGATGGACACGGCGGGGCTTGACGGACAACTGCAGGGCCTTCACAATTCCTGTGGAGCGAAGCAAGCCTTTTGAAGCTTCGCGAATGATACGCCGCTTGTCCGCGTCCGTCATTTTCCGGGGCCTTCCGCCATTGTTTTTCTGATTGTAGCCGTTTTCATTTCGAAGAAAGGATGTAACAACGTTCCTTGAGCGTCGTAGCTCATCTGCAACGTGAGAAACTGTCCAACAGTTCGATTTGTGCGCTAGAATTTGACCTTTCTCGAAATCAGACAAGCGCGACTTGCGAGGCATTTTAGAGCGTGGCGAAGGCGCTCTACATCGCTTTTGCGCTTCTCTACAGCTTTACAGATGCCTAAGGTATGGCTTGTCAAAGTTTGGCGCGCATCAAAACAGTACTTCGCGCGCTTTTTGAAGTTTGCACAAATGTGCACCTATAGTTTTTGCCGGGTGTTTTTCCCGTAAAGCTGGATATCTTGGTAACTGCTTGCCCGTTTTCTATTCTGTTTTGATATTCTTACTCAGAGCGGCACGTGCCAGAAGAGCAGCGGGAAAACCCGAATTTACCAGAAAGAGTACTCAAACAACTTCGAAGTCCTGTTGGTCATTAAGATGATCATATGAGTCCATCGCAGCCTTCAATTCCACATAAACCAACTTTGTAGAATTATCCCTCCAGGCCAAAATAAACTTTTCGTAAACATGCGTCTCAACCGGAAACGGAAGACTTATCTTAGCAGTGGATACGACGTCATCCCCGCATTTCCGCCTTAACTCTTTCAAGGCCGCTTGGAATGCTAAAATCTTGGGGTGGTAGGCCTGAATACGGTCAGGGCCTGTTGACGTGAGCCATTTCCTATGCATTAGTTCAAACGTTCACAAATGGCTGCGGCCAAATCACTGACATTTCGAACACTTTTCGGTTGCTCGGATCAACCCGACAACTAAACATCCCAGCTTCTGTGCCAGTAGGCAAAACAATGGCCAATGTGAGACGTTTCTGTAGACTTCTCGGTTCTATCCATGACGCAAACAAATATTCCGGCTTCAAAACTTTCGGTTCCGAATAAAACGAAGATGCCACACTCTCTGAAGAGTCTTCTTCTGAATCTAAATCAACGGCACTAAATGCCCTTTTACGACTGTTAAACTCTGCGCCATTGGCCGAACAACGCCTATCTAGGCCCTCATCGTCGACAACAGTACCAACTGTAGCAAAGTTTCGTTAGAAAAAGGCGAGGGCGGAGTAAAAACCACAATTATGATAACGTACCAGGAGAGCTCGAACATGCAAATTCCTTTCTCAAACGGTTATGGCAAGTACGAAAATTGCTCAATTTGTGCTTCTGAAATAAACTCGACATCCCATACACTGCCTTGGGATCCTCTCTTCCCGTAATTTTTTTGACTCCAGAAGGCTGCGCAAATGTCGCACAGCCTCTGAGATCTTTGTTAGTTTTTTCTCATCCATTTTGAGTTGGCAGCGAAATAGAAGAGAACCCAAATGATGCAGGAGTAGGGAGTGGGATCTAAGATGCTCACACTTCTTAAAGCATACAACGTTTTATTTGTTCGCGAATATTTGATAAAATTTGGCCATGACTTTTGGCGCAGTTTTTTCGAGACGAACATTGTTTCTACTTCGTAAGACCACGAGTATTACAGAACGTGGAAGCAAACTTCGTAGCCATGTGGATAGTGACTTTAATCTAGAGTACAGTGGAAGAGAAACAAGCAGCGGCCACGTAAAGATTGCCGCTCGAACGTTGCGAATATTCGCAAAATTGGTGAAAGCACGATACGTTCGCCGGCCGAACAATCAATTTAAATATGACATGTCATGCACAAACGTCATATTTTCATAGTCACCACATCACTGACATACAGAATTCGTCATACACTGTAACGCTAAGTGATGACGGAATGTGCAGTTATTCATATTTCAGTACGTTTTCGATAGTACAAATGCGAATTTTGCGATTATTTATAATTATTTGGGGCATTGATATTTTAACATACGGTGCTTTTGCCAAATTTGATGATCGCTATCACATCGCTTGCCTTGCATCCTTCCGCCCAAGCATAATTATATTTCCAAACTACTCTCCTGCTGCAATTTTGAGCTTTGCCAGCGAAATGAACCTCCCTCTTTCGGATGTATCGACGCAGACGGTACATCGCCGATTTTGCAGTTTTTTGGTGCTAGTCCCATCGTTGTATGGCAAGCATGGAGTTGTATTCGTGTGAAGGTTGTTGCTGGTGCAAATCCGAAGCACTTGTTGTGGGCTCTCATGTTTCTTAAGAATTATAGTCATGAGCACATGAATGCCGCAGTTGCTGGTGTGGACGAAAAAACCTTTCTTCTATGGTGTTGGCGGTTTGTAGAGCTTCTTTCACAAATGAATATGGTAAGCCTTTTGCCAGGCATGTCTTTTATTAACAGATGAGATACTGACTTCGGCTTAGTTGAACTTTGTGGATCGTCTATCTGGGAGAGAGAATTGCGTCTATAAAATTAATGTCGATGGTATGGACTGCGTGATCAACGAAGCAAGCGTCTTCAGCCCCAAGTGGTACTGGCACAAGTTCAGGAGCGCCGGGGTTCGCTATGAGGTCGGGGTTATTGTCGCCGGTGGAAATATTGTATGGGCACATGGTCCGTTCCCGTGCGGAAGTTTTAGCGATCTGAGAAAATTTCGCCTTGGTCTGAAGAATTCGTTGCAAGGGAATGAGAATGTTATTGCAGATCAGGGATATCCAGATGAGCGTTGTAGTCGTCATATGTTTTATGAAGGTTCCCTCTCGTTTACCTACACCCGCGCTCGTCATGAGGCTACTAATAAGGGTTTGAAACAGTTCAAGATTCTAGGGGGCTGTTTCCGCCACTCGCTTCAACTTCACGCGCAATGTTTTTTCGCAATAGCCAACATAGTGCAACTTTCTATTGAAAACGGTGAACCTGTTTTTGCGCATTATTAAGAAGTCTGCTTTTGAACCGCATTTTCCCGCTGCTCCAGGCACACAGCAATGCATGTCATGTTTACTTAAAAATTGGACCCATTGGACCCAAGAAGCCCGAATGTCCTATAGTTTTTGCCACCACTGTACTGTTGTGAATGAACACCTTTCGAGCTGTACATATTCATTACAGCCACGGGATGTCAAGAGGCGTGAGACGCACACAGTAAAGAACAGCTCAGGATCAGACGTGTAAGTTGCACTAGAATCTGACTATACTCATCGGGGTACTGGCATTCGGAAGGAATGCATGTATGGATCGATGATTGATAATGTGTATTGGAGAAGGTGCTTGCATTCAGGAGGAATACAAGCGCAGTTCTATATTTATTACCAGGAAGGGTAATTAAATGCTAAAAGCTCGAAGTGAGCATAACCGTGCTTGACGGTAGAAGCACGATGCCCGCAGGCTGACCTGAGCGCGGAGGGAGAGAGTCCAGAGACTCTATATATAGTTGATGGTTGACCCTAGGGTAGGAGAGAGAGGGAAGAAAAGTAAGGTAGTGACCTGACAGACCAACAAAGACTTCCATTTAGGAGACTGGCGGTCTCCGGGCATTTGTGCTCCCCCACCGTGTTTGTAGAGTAGGACCCTATCAACTGCAACCACTTGTCCTTCTACCCGCTCGCCTACGACGTCGGGATCAGGATTTGTCACAACTGTACAGTATTTGCTCTCGCGACGGTGCTCGACTATGATCCTATGGCGTAGCACTGGTGGCTCTCGCTCGGCGCCAGCAATAGCTAAGACGTGTTCACGTGTTGCTCGTGTACACATCGACACGTACGGTACCTGTGGATCGCCTAATGCACCTGACGCAGAGCAGTCCTATCTTTGCAGTCGTCGTCGAAGGAATGATTTAGGCGTTTGGGGTGAGCTGCTGCTATACACCTTTGTCCACGATACAGTGGAGGGGATAGGTTTGAAATAATCCCCACTCGACGGCAGGTGATGTGAACTATTGACGTACTGTAGGCCCTGGTTTGTGATGCGGATCGTCGATCGAAGAACGGTGAAGGATAAGGATGTGGATGGGCAAATGTGCGGGGCTTTGGAGTGCTACTGTATCACGACTAGAGGGGGTAGAGGACTGTTGACAGTGCTGACATCAGCGAGGAGTGAAAATGAAAAGCAATGGTTGAAAATACCTCACTCCAATCCCTTTCGCACACGGAAAGTGTCCTGCCAGGAGGACGTTTACGTAACAGTCAGGTGAGTAATAGTAACCGAGGCATTGCATATGTTGCGACAAACCTCAGGGAGGCAGTCGCAACGTATGCAATGAGGCGAGGGTTGTTACAAACGCAGCAAGCGCCACCCAGATACAGTATGTGTTTCGTGATCGCTGTTTTTTTTTTTTCCATGTGGTGTGACGAATGGATCAGAGGGAATAAATCATTTTGGGATTTTTGGGCATGATGGCGATTGCTTTGGGAATGTAGCGTAGCGGTGTGTTTGAGGGTTGAAGCAGCGCCCTTTTTCCTCTTACTGTACGACCAAACTGTATAACGTCAATAGTTAATGTGCGTTCTCAGTCGAGCAGTGATGAATCGAAGAAAGTACTTGTACTCGATCGTATACTGTACCAAGAATGCGGTTGAATTGGCGCTGTCGGCGTTTTGGCTTATGGGTTAAAGAGAGGGGTGTGTAATGAGAGTCGATTTCTCCGCGTAGCTGGAATACATTTTGATATGATGATGAGGAGGCCAAACAGATGTAACCCGTCACTCGTCATTTGAAATACTATACAGTAGTGAATATATAGGACGTACGGTATATACAGTGAGGTAGTGAGTTATTTTTCTACAGTACTGTACATGCTACAGTACAAAGAAAGAAGTTTTGAGGTGGTATCCTATGGGTGGTGGTGGGTTAAATAAGGTCGTATCATTTGTGTGTCGGTGCAAATTACGATCCTTCTTGCCTATCTTTTTTAGTGCTGATATCTGTGGCGAAAAAGTATTTTGGTAGGACACATTGTTGCCTCTGCGTCACCCTCGTTGCTCTATTTCAAGAATTCGTAGCGTCGAAGAGGGGCAGTCTGTGATTGATTCAGAAACCAAGGTCACATTTTGTTTTTATCTGCAGTAAATGCTGTAGACGTGGGATTCCCAAAAGGCGCATTAGGTCTGTCATCTCAATAACGCACACGTGGTTGTGTGGGGGATTCTTGCATTAGAGGGTTTACGCAAAATCAAATTTTCCCATTGCCGAGAGAGGTGGTGGCCATCGGTAACTTAGATATAGTGAAATAGTGAAAAGTTTGTACAGCACA